GACTTACTGCTTTGAGAGAAAGGCTTGGAAGAGGGTGGCAGCAACGTGCCTGCGAGAACCAGCTCTTTCAGGTCAGCAAAACAGACAGAGTTCAAACAGACAGCTTCGCTGCAGTATGCAAGCTCCTTCCCAGAACAAAGGTTTTTAAGGGGATGAACTACAGACAGGATATATATTGTGATTACAACTCTTACACAGTTTTGATCAATGCTTATGATGTGGGGCTGCGGAGTAAGTGAAAATGGAAGTTTCACCTAACACATACCTTAAGACAGCAGCTACTAGAGCTGATAAATCCTCCTTGCTCCTTAAAGTACCAAACAGCCACTGCATTCACTTAACTTGCCTGTTTCTGGTTCTCACCTGTCTGTTTTTTCTTTCAGCCAGTGCTTGCATGGAGGAGTTTGACATCTGATCCTTCATTTCCTGTTTGTTCAACAAAAGAAGTATGTGAGCATTGGACTTGAGGTGACAGGCAGTTTCAGGGTGCTACAGGGCTGTCTATACCCAGCAAGGCTTTTTCAGGAGGAGTGAGGGAAGGGAGATTTTCTTTGAAAATGTGCAGTTTTGAAGAGTCTGAAAGGATGTTGTAGAAAGCTTCATTGCAGTTCATCCTTCTACTAATAACTAGAATCAATGGCAATGGGATATTTTAAAAATATCCCTTATTTACTACTCATTTTGCTCCACTACAGCCAGAAACACTTTGATTTGTATAATATTAAACTAACATTCCCATTGATAGACTGTAAGGAAGAGTCATGTCCTTCAAGGTCTTGGAAGCCTGTAACCCCCTGCACTTTATTCCCAGTTGCATCTGGTTTTATATTGCATAGGATGAGATAGATTTCCTGTCCTGTGGCCATCCTCTCTGACTGTGCCGACATTTGCTCTTTTATCAATTAAGTTTTGCTGTCGAGTTTCTGTAGAAGATGGCTAGCCATGGAGGGCTCCCCATCACAACACAATCTAGTTTTTATAGGGTAGATTAGCAAGCAGTCGATACAATCTAGCAGAGGCTGATGCACCAGCACGCTTCAGGTGTCACCAGAACATTTAGAGATGTGCAATACATCACCTAAGAGCACCAGATTCGACTCTTTTACTTCTCACTGGCTAACACACACACTGCTGTGCATCACAAATTCCTAGTCAGCTGCATAATGCCACTAATGAATTTCATTTAACGATAAGAGACGCTGCTCCAAAACCCATTAGCCAGCAGTTTTCAGCCAGGAAGAGAGGACCACAGAGCGGGCTTGTCTGATCCTGCCCGTTTGGGAGTGGACTATACCGAGGGCAAGGTGTAGTCCGTGCCTGTCACCCCGGGCGAGCGTGGTTTCAGCATCATTTTTTAGGCAGCAAGCCTTAGGAACTGCATCCAGACCACAGGACTGCAGGTAGGGTAACAAGCTTGCTGCCAGCCACAGCAATGCATTTCGTGAAGCAGGAACATCAGAGTCACGAGGGGCAGCAGAAATTAAGCTATGCTCAGTGAAGCTATTAATAGGGAGAAAACTTCCTAACTAGCAGCTTGTTACCAGGCAGTGAAGCTTTTGGGAAGATGTTTATTCTCTATTTATTACCACCAAGTTGTTAAAATTATCCTTTTGCTTCTTAAGTGTGAGCTTAAACTTAAAAAAAAAAAAAATCTTCCCTGCGTTAAAAATAAATCTAGTGGTTGTTTGGATTATTTTGTAGCGGTAGGAAGTTGAAGTCACCATGTCAATAATGCTGGGCTTTAACCATCTGTCAGTGTTCAAAGTGGTGTCTGTTTTTGAAATCTAGCGCTAGAAAAGCACAGGACAGTCGCGATTTCCTTCAACTCCGAAGGGAGGCTCTAGCCTCCCAAGCGTTGCAGTGGGGTCTTTTACTCTTCCTCCCCAGTTACTACAGGTTCCCAGGCTCGCTGTTGCAAAAGAGGTGAGAAGACATAAAGGGGCAGCAGCAGCAAACGAGGGTGTGCCACAGGCCACCTGCACCCCTGCAGCCCCAAACCCATCTGGGCAGCCCCAGGAGGGAGCACAGGGGGAAGAGGAGGAAGCAGGTAGCAGGTTTATTCTCTGCTCTCTAGTTCAGCACAGAAATGGTAGTTCAGCATGGAAATGGCCACAAGCTTCCCTTTTTTTTAACCACCTAATCGCTCCCCCTGCCTTCCCCACGCTCCCACCCCGAGCCCACGTTCCTTACCCTGACCACCTGCCGCGTGCTCGTGATGAAGGCTTTCCTGATACCCAGCTCCGTCGCATCGAGGTTGAATTTCCGCGGGTTTGCCTCAACAATGCATAGGGAGCGAGTCAAGGAGTGGTTAGCGGTTTTGGGTACACACACAGACACACAAACCCCGAGAGTGCCTCAGCAGGGCTCTACCAAGTGGCCATTACGCTGTGACTTTTCCCAAAATTTGCTGAGTAAAGTACAAAACGCTGGAGGAAAAAAACAGTGCAGTACACACAACAGCGTGAGGATTCTCTCTTGCCTTTTTTTTTTTTTTGTTCTCCGATGCTACGCAGTACTTCCAGGAGTGTTCAGATAAACACAAGGGAAAAGGAGTATTTCTGGAAGCCAGCCTAAAGTAGGACTGACTACACAGAAATCCAAATTCATACAACACAATAGGCTTTGCAGAACAAAGCATCTTAGAATATACCTTGTCAAAAGGAAAACAAAGAGGCAAAAGGAAAATCCTTTTGCTGAACACATTTGCCTCAATTTCTCATTTGCAGTTTGAGAAAAGCCGATGTAAATGCAAAATTCAATCCCAAATAGTCCTGTTTTCTGCAAAAAGTAACAAGTACCAGTACTTGGCTATTTAGTACAGCTAAGGAACCGGATGCCCCTACCTCCAAAGAACTACAGAAAGGATATTAATCGTTTCATCCAAGTCTTCCAGGTCCCACTCGATGCTCCGTAGGTTATTCCTGAGCTCATTAGTGGTCCAGTCGATTTCTTCTCTTGTGGCGATGGAGGGATCTTGCAGGAGCTCTGTCCACCTCTGGAAGAGCCCCTGGGCGGTGTTCACAGCTTTCTGCACCTCCCTGCAGCCGGGGTGGTTAAAGAGGAGCAAAGGGATTACCATCAGTTGCTCTGCAGCAGTCACGGCAGGACAGCCCCATGTCCAGCTCAGCAGGGGAGCACAGCTTTCTCCCAAACATTTCTCCTTCAACAAATTTTTAGTTTATTTTGTAAAATAAGGATCTGCCCTACCTGCTGGACAATCCTGTCTCTTGTTGCAGCATGAAGTGCTGAGCGACAACAAGTTCCAAGTCAGCTGTTAACGAAGGGACCTATTTCTTTAGGGGAGGTTTCTGCTGAGTGTCACACAGGCAGGGCGGAGTGTCTGAACAAGGCTGCTCTCTGGCAATTAATGCTTTGCATTCCTCTCACCAGCTTTCCTCTAAAGACTCTTGACTACCTAGGTAAGATACCCCAAGGGCACACAGAAGTACAGGAACTGTCCCCACAATACAACCAGGCAGACTGTTGAGTCCAGCCTCTACTATGCTGGCTTAGGGAACATAAGTCTTTTCTGCTGCTCTAAGCTTTTTGGAGACGAGTGCATTCACAACACGGGAAGGCAGGCTTTGCTGACAGCACTGAATGATGCTTTGATGGTTTGGGGCAAGCGGGTCTCCAAGTTTGGGCCACAGTCCATCAGTGTGGCTATGTATTTACAAACTCTGAGGTCCTGAGCTGTGAACCTGACCGTGGACCCGCTCCTGCAAGTTCACGGGCAGCCAGGACGAGGGACGCAGACGAGACCGGATATTGCTGGTGCGAAAGCATGAGCCCAAGAGCTTGCACACAGCATTCACGTAAGATGCAGGTGTTTATCCCCAGTGAAGGAAAGCAGGTTATCGGTGGGGGAAGCCCAGGACAGTTGAACTGAGCCCACACTCTGCAGGCGTGCCAAGACTGCAGCTCTTTTTTTCTTGTATCACGGCCTGAAGTACTCAACTTTGCTAAGCTGCAGTCTCTCGGCACCCTGATGCATGTCCCTCCTTGCACGCCTACAACTCCGAGTCTGCCACATCTAGTGCCCTAGAGTCAGCAGCCCGTGCTGAGGATCTGGCAAGCTTTGTTCTCTGTGCTACTTGCTAGTAGAAGTTTTGGGTTGTTTTGTTGGTTTTTTTAATCTAAGCATACTTTGGGAAATACCCACAAGCAGGAATTTAAAGCAGAGCTGGATGTCCTCCGATGGGAGGAGTTAAAAACACCAGGAAAGCAAGCTAAATGCAACGCTGGTGGCTCCACCACTACCAGCCCCTTCCACCCTGACCTGCTGGGTAATAATTAACGCTGGGAGTGGCAGCACATCCCTTCTCCGCTCCCTGCATGGCACGGGAACCTCTCCGGAAAGTTTGACAGGACGTTTGGTTCCCCACCCACGGCAACCTGTATTTTTTTCCCCTTAGCACCAGTTCAGCCTGGCAGAGTGATTCCGTTTCCCTGGCTGCACCAGCATCCCCTCTCACAGGGCTTCCCCCACCGCTCCCCTACGAGCACCTCCGCTGCTCCTGAGTGCTGTTTCACTGCCATGCGGGGAAGGCGACCGGCCTGCAGCTGATGCTGGTGCTTTTTAGAGACTAAGGTGCTTTCACTGTATTAATTACAATTTGCCTTTCTTCCTGCCTCGACCACCTTTGGCTTGTGTTCGCCTTTGTTCAGGCTCGTCTCCGCTTGCTTCCGCTCGTGGCCACCGTCCGTGCTGCAGTTTCTTTCCCCGGCTCGGTCCCTGCTCCTCTCCATCTTTCCGCCTGCACGCCACGGCCCT